CAGGGTGCACAGTAGCACAGAGGGGACACTGTTGTTTGGTCCTGGAGGCTAAAGAGCCACACCCAGGGAGCTTTACAGCTTGGCTTCTCAGATGGGAAGTCTCCAGTTTCTCAAGTAGGCCCAGAGAAAATGAAGAGGCAAATGTATTATTTATTTGTTTAATCATTTTCACTTAGGCCTCAGCAGTGACTGAGTCTGTCAAACTGTTCATACTGAAGAATGTTCAACAGATGCTTTTGTTGAGCCTCAAGTGGTAACAAGTCCACAAGAAAATGAAAAGAACATGTTGCGTTGTGTTTAATATATGTACTTCCTTTCCCCCCCCTTCCCCACTCCTCCGAAAAGGTTTCCACAGCAGCCCAAGGAAAGCCTAAATAGTTTTCCATACTGTCTGGAGGAATAATGGAAAATATATTGACAAACATGACTCCAGTGCACCCAGTTAATGCATCTGCGCTGACATGGATTTTTTTGGAAGAAGGCCTTCATTATCTTGATGGCAAAGGAAAAGTTTCATAAAAAGGACAAAAATTGAGGTAAAGAGGGGCCCAGAGCAGGCACCATAAGTCTGTCTTCATTAGAAATTAAGTTGTGTTAGAACATGACATGAGTTGTGTTAACTAACGTTAAACACAACTTTGCAGCAAGTATATACAGGAAAAAGACATGTTTAACATCCTGTCAGCTGGTCATGAGCAAACATCACTGAAACCATAGGGTTAATCACAACCAGCGGATGCAGTGTGAAACAGCTTGTCCCTGCCTACCCTGACTGCAAAGTCATGTTTAAGATTGAGTTAGTTAACACAGCTCCTCAGGATCCTGTTCTAACATGACCTAATTTTCAGGTAACAACACACTGTAAGAGTATGGAAGAAATATAGGGCCTCCTGAATAGTGACTTAGGTTGGGAGCCTAAAGGAGTTAGGCATTCAACTCCCAGTAAGAGTCAATGCTAGTTGGACATCTAACTCCCTTAGGCTCCTATGATCCTTATTTTTTTCTGGATTACTGACATGGGCCTACAGTTTTGTTTTGGATTATGGGTGAAAGCCAGCCCTTTTGGTATGCTTGGGGTTTACTGTGAAACCACCCACCGACAAGTGAGTCTTAGCTATGCAGGCTAAACCTGGCGTTTCAGGCTTCTCAACAGGGTTATATTTTTGTGTGCACTGCCAGCTGCTCTTCTTAAACAAAAAAAGTCTTGCTGTTACGTGAACATGCGCCGCTGGACTTTTATTTTCAAATTGTTCCACACAAAAGTACTAGAACTATTAGGGTAATTTTATGTGTCACTATTTCAAAATATGAAGTGTTGCAGTGAATGTTCACATACCAGCAAGACTTCTTTTGGTTTATATATATATTAGCTATATAATGCCCATAACTGGGCCCTTCTTTTAATTGACTGTAGGCACTTCTATGGAAATATGTCTGAAGTGTAGTTTGTGAAAAATGTTTTAAAAGTGTTTGATGTAAAATAAGCGCTAGACATTTAACAGTGCAGAATTAGTCAAAATCTGTAGATTACAAATCTGTTCCTAACAGCCTCAGCCTGTAATAGTGTCTTAGTAAAGTTGATCTGCTTTATTTTAGTTAATCGCATTTCTGCTGTAATAGCCTTTTGAAAATAAAATTATTAATACATATGTACTGGTTAATACCTGTTAATATAGAACATGGCACTTTGTTATTTTGATATGGTTTCACTTAAAACTGATAGAGTATATAAATTTTGTAAGAAAAGTCATTCAGCATTTATTATAAAGACATTTTTCATGTTAAAAATACCTTTGGTTGGTCAAACAAATATCAGCTATGTGAAATGTATATTGTCTACCTTGGCCACATATTTTAAAAGATTCAGCAATATATGTGCAAGAATATTAACAGTGCTTCTGAAACTCTGTGAGCTCACAATTGGTGATAGAAAGACAGTAAATTAATATGGTTAATATTATATTAAATCACAGTTTCAAAAGCACTTTGAGTTATTTGTCCTTCAAACAGATATAACCAATTCAATTGTTACATACAATGGGAATTGCAGTGTAACAGTATAATTACAGTAGTTGATTTAAAAATTCTCTATAACTCCTTACTAGCAATTTTTGAGAAAACTAGTTGTACGGCCATGTAGTTAAAATATTTTATTTTCCATTATAACTGGTCTTACATGCTAAAATTATGAGGCTTTCAACAGTAAAGCACCATTTTATTTATGTTTTCAAACTGAGACGTGAATGGAAAGAGAGTTCATCTTAAAATCAAAATACATACATACATGAAAATCATTGAACATTACAAATTCATGATGAGTTACACGGTTCCTAGATTGATTTCCTTTGTTTTATAAATTGTAAAATCAAAGATGCCAAAGGGTAATATAAGCTACAATAACATTCAACAGAACTTAACCTGGACCTTATGTTGTAATAATTTATTCAAATTACCTGTATTCTTCTGTATTTATATTTTCAGTATTTATTATGAATGATATGGAAATTGATGTATTTATTGTGGCTTATTACTGCAATGTACATATTATAAAATTAGCATTTTTAAGTCTTAACATTAGGTTTCTCTTTGTTTATTAGTGACACTCGTATTCTCCTGTATTTTTATTATATATTGTACAATATATATTGTCCATTTGTTTGCAACACAGTAAAACAGGTTTCTACGTTACATCAGCTACTGACATTTTTCCACGTGCATCTTATTTCTAATACACAATTTCTAACAGTTTTCTCTCCTGCTTACTGGTGCCATAATTAGTGCTGTATCTCCTTTCCAAGCGGGAGGAGCAGCATAGGGAACCTTAGAACTGCCCTTTTCACGCTGATTTGTACTTCCTTTCCTTGTGTTCTGAATGCATGTTTTCATGAGTTGTTTTTAAACCTTTAGGCCTTGGCTACACTTCACGTTATACCGCAATAAAGCCGCCCAGAGTGCTCTAACTCACCCCCCGTCCACGCTGGCAAGGCACCTAGAGCGCTCTCACTCCCTGGCTAGCGCGCTGCTGGTACTCCACCTCCCCCAGAGAGGTAAGGTTTGCTGTGTATTGGGTGAGACGCTAGTCAGTGTGAAGGAGGAGCTACATGACAGCGCTCTGATTGCCCTCCAGTACCGTCCCATAATCCCATTAACTGAAGCGGCCTCTCTTGTCTTACTTGTGAACTCCGGCAGGAATGTGGAAGTGGCCCTTTCAAAGCTCCGTGCTGGCTGCTTATCAGCTCCAAGAAAAAAACAAACAGCTAATGTTTGCTTTGAGTGAGTGTGAGAGAGGGGGGCGGGGTCTGTACTTACAAGACAGCGTGCTGACACTCTCTCAGCACCCCGAAACCCCACTCTGTCTCCCCCCACATACACACTCCACCGCTCCACGTCCCCATTTGAAAAGCATGTTGCAGCCACTTGAACGCTGGGATAGCTGCCCGTAATGCACCGCTCCCAGTGCTGCTGCAAGTGCTGCAAATGTGGCCAGGCCAGTGCACTTTCAGCTGTCAGTGTGGACAAACTGCAGCACTCTCCCTCCTGCGCTTTACGAAGGCTGGTTTAACCCAAAGCACTCTACATCTGTAAGTGTAGCCAAGCCCTGAGTGTAAGCAACCTTCAGATGTAAAGAAAGGGGCAGGAATGCCATATTTGGTATATCTGTTTGCATCTTAGTGAACAGTAGCACATACTCTTTAATTAAAATGGGCAGAAGGAGAAATTGCATGATTCAGCTGTACTTATTATCCTGGTAACTTTGTCATGCCAGTTTTCTTTGGGCTGAGGAAGAAAGATTTTTCAAATGCTGCTCAAAATAATTTTGCAATACTCCCTCTGTTGGCCATATTGCAGTAATTTTATACACCAAACAAATTTAAAATAGATGAAGGTAGGTAAATGGCAGTGTTATCTTTCAGCCTATTGCCTAATTATTCTGAAAACTACCAACTAACTAACATAGCCCCTCTAGGGAATTTATATTTTTATCATAGTGTTTTCTCTGATTATTCTATTACTATGTTTAGAAGATTTAAACTAATTTGAGTTTTATATTTTTAAATAAGTCAGCTATGGATCTGAATTTATAATATTTAAAATTATTGTTAATTGAAAGATCGGCTGTTGTTCTCTAGTAAAATCTGCTATGAAGGCCTTTTCATAAAACATCATTTTATCTTCGGAGGAGTTATGCAAAAGAAAATAGAGATGAACATCTGTTACCGGTCGGTGGATTGCTTTTCCATGAACTATGATTAATTGCACTCCAGGGCTTGCCACTATAGTCAAGACATACTGACAGAAAAAAGGATAAACAACCTTTAAAACTAGTACTGTCAATAAAGAAGGCAGCACTCCAGTTTCACAAGTAAGCTAGATTTAAGCTTGTAAAATAGGATTTGTATTCATTGTAAACATATAGTCTACACTTACACTGGTGTAAATCAGAAGTAATTCTATTCAAGTCAATGGGTCAGATCCTCAGCTACTGTAAATTGTCATAGTTCCATGGAAATTAATAAAGCAAGACCAATTTACATTAACTAAGGATCTGGTCCGATGTGATTTTGCTAATGTCAAACTGGTGTAAGTGGGAGGAGAATCAGCCCACATATTTTTGTAACAGTTCGAGTCTCTGTTGACTTGGAGTAAGAGTGAGCCTTCTATAACTTAAATCAAGCGTGCTGCAAAGCCTGTTGTTTTCCTAGATGTTTGGAAAGGTGGGTGGGTTAACAGAGAATGGTGAGAGAGAAAATTACTGTGGATGTTATTTTTGTTGGCAAACGTTAGTGGCTCATATAGCAGTCTGATCTAGTATACTTCCATCTGAATACATTGTGTATTTGGTAGTTTTAATCCCTTTTGGAGAGCAACAAACCCAAGTTAAAGTGCTTTAAATTAAATCAAAGGAAATAAAGAGCCCAACGAACCTGTTCGACAAACTACGGCCTCCGGGCCACGTCCGGCCCGCAGGACCCTTCCCTCTGGCCCCCGAGCTCCTGCCAGGGAGCGGGGTCAGGACAGGCTTGCAAAGGAGCCAGCCCAACTCCCCAGCAGCGTGGGGAGCGGGGCGGAGGCGAGCCCCTGACCCCTCCCCTTCTGCTCCCCTCCCTCGCAGTCACAGTTCCCCCAGCGCCTGGGCAGCAGCTCTGGCGGGGTGGCCCAGCTGTAGCGCGGCCAGACGTGGTGCGTCCCGGGGAGTTCCGGGAGCAGGGGGAGGTTGCAGGGGGGTGGCCAAGGGGCCTGGTCCCTGCTGGCGGGGAAAGGGGCAGAGCAAGCATCCACGTCCAGTATGCTTGGTCCCTGCTCCCAGCAGCCGAGCCCAGACAGGGAGAGCAGCCAAACGAGCAGGGGAAACGCACAGGGAAAGGACGGAGCCCCCCTTTCCTCCACCCCACAGGTAACGTGGGGCGGGGAAAGCAAGGAGGATTGGATGGGGCGGGGGTGGTCAGGGGGCAGAGAGCAGGGGTGTTGGGAGAGGATGCAGGAGTCCCGGGGCGCAGTCAGGGGTGGGGAGCGGGGGGGGGAGTTCCGGGGGGGCTGGCATGGGGGCGGGGGCCAGGCCACGCCTCGCTGTTTGGGGAGGCATAGCCTCCCCCAGCCTTCCTTACCCGGCCCGCCCTACAATTTCTGTACCGGATGTGGCCAAAAAGTTTGCCCACCCCTGCTCTATTTAAATGAATCCCTATACTTAGCAACAGTATCCTGTTATGGAAAAGAAAAGCAAAGTAGCTAACGAATGGTACATAATGACCTTTTATTTTGTGCTCACACATTTGTTTTATGATATACTTAAGCATAAAAATCTATGACCAGGAGGGAGCACTGGTATAAGGATTTACAATAGGCGCACAGCCAGGTATTTTCAAAAGATGGTGTAGTTATTTTAAAAATTGCCTTCTGAAAAAGCTAGGCAAAAAGGATTTCCAAAAATATTTGACCCGACATAACAAGTATTGAGAGGCCAGGAGTAAACTTAATACATCCTAGTGTAACCTTGCCCATAGTCAAATTGCTTATTTGTTCTAGGTATATTTATTTCCTGCACTATAGCATGTGTGTGTATATTTATTTATACATTTAAATAATTTATACATTTATTTTATACATTTATATATGTATAAAAATAATATATGCATGCTAGAGAGGAGTATATCATTTCTGTACTTTATTACCTCATTAAATAATTCAAAGCTCTATTTAGAAACCAATATTTCCTGGTTTCTGGGACACTAAGCATGCAGTCAGACTGAGGAACGCTGGTTCATTTTTGTTCATTGGTTTGTTTTATATGGTAGTATGATGTGGATAATGGCAGAGCAGCATTAGAGGAAGAAATCCTTTCCTGCTGTAGGCTACATTGCAAGTCATCATGCAACAGGATTTGTAATTCTCTCTTGAGTTTGGATATTGGTGAACCTATCTAACTGTGCACTCAGGTTTTAGGATTAATTACATGGCTTCCTGTGCTGGAAGAGATTATCACGTTGCCACAGAAGATTTGAGGTTGTTATGCAGAACAAGGGGATTAAAAGGGCTACAGCAGTGGTTCTCAATAGTCCACAATCCTATGTTAGGACACTGAAGTTTCACCTCTCCCTTAGTTTTAGCACCTCCCTCCCACCTGGCCAAAAGGAGAGGGTACTCCTGGTTGCCCTGGCCCTACTGGTGACTGCCTCACCAGCCATGGTGAGAAGCTGCAGGCACACATAATTGCATAATAGCTTTCTAAATGGGAGTGTGACCAGGCAGAAGAACCATAGTACACTTAGTAACTCCTCCTAGTGCTGGCATATTACAATTAATGTTTTAAATAAAATATAATTGACTGTATTGAAACTAAGATTTAGCTATACTGTAGATCTCTGTTAATTTCACTAACCTGATAAAGTAATAGAAATGATTTAATATCATAATGTTCTAAGGATTTAATATTATAAACTGGCTGAATTCCAAGGTAATTTGTGAGGACAGAGTCAGGGCTGAGGACCGTTAGTAGCAACTCTATCAATAGTAAAGGACAAATGCTTATATTAATGTCTGTTCAGGCCAGTGACAGAATGGACTGTCAGCAAAAGTAGCGTTATGCCTCTGCTGAGCAGTCATAGGTCAGCGTTAGAACCTGGTGAAGGCGACGCTGCTGCTGCTTTTCTTTCTCCTTGCCCTTGTGCAGGAGGGATGGTTTGGGGTGAGGGTGTGTCACAAGCAGGGTGTCTACAGTGCCCTGGGAGGCAGGGAGGTGATGGATGGATGTGAGAGATGGGTTTCAGAGGGAGGCTTTATGTGCCTAACTTAAACAATTAGCCACCATGGCCATTTACAAAACCCCCAACTCTGGAGGTGCCGAAACCCCCTCAGTGGCTGTTTTCATTGTTAAAGTCTTGAGGGGCCTAAATTGCAATAGGCAGCTCCTCAGCTACCAACAGTGCCCTGCAGCTTGGTGCCTAATTCATGTCTAAGCTCCAGTAGCATCCCCCTGTCCATCGTACAATTATACATCCTTCCTCCTAACCCCGCCTACTGGAAGGGAGGTGAATGTGAGTCTCGCATCACTCATGAGCGTGCCCTGACCACACTTGTAGGCTGGAGCAGGGTGTTCAAGCTCTTGTGTTGAAACTTTCCTACTATGTATATATAATTAGCTGTGTGATGAAGAAGCAAAGGACACTAAAAACCTGATGCCCACTGGTTAGTGCACTTACATATGCTGTAGAAGAACCAGGGTCCTGCAGGCCAGCTAAGCCATGTCACTCAGAAAGTGTTAGGTAACTAGCTCTACTTTGGTTTCATGCAGGCCCGCCTTCTTGTGAAGTCAGTCTTTTGTCCTTCAAGAAAAATGGAGATAGCTAAGTCCCATGGCTCACAGCTTTTAGTACCATCCTTTACTTAAGTTATAGAAGACATGGTGTGAGTGCTCCAGCCATCTGAAGTGGTGTAAGACCTTGACCATGAGTGGCCCTGGTCCCAGGAGAATGCCCTAACCACATGGCTATGGGATAGCCCTGATGCAGGAGCAGCTGCGGGGCAGGGCCTCCATTCCACCTGGTAAAGCTGTCACACCATGTATAAGTAATTAAATATGCCTGGGACTAGCTACAAAGTACTGAGCCTGCTGTACCCCAGTTGTTGCAGGGGAGTGGGAGGTTCACCTAAGACAAGGGCGGGCAAACTTTTTGGCCTGAGCAGGGCTGGCCTTACCATGAGGCGAACTGAGGCGGCTGCCTCAGGTGCCAGACTGTGGGTGGGGGGCGGGGGGCGCCACTAGGACCCAGAGTGTAGAAAAATGTGTCTGCTGCTGCTGCATATGTATTCTCTCTGCTCTAGATGCACAGAGATGGTGGAGTGCTGTGCTGGAGGAAGGAGGGCACAAGAGACATAACAGGCGGGCAGGAGAAAAGGTGAGAGGGAATAACGGAAAGCAGCAGGAGCTGCAGGGAAAGAGGGGAGCCTCTTATGTACCTCTCTAGCACCCCCAGGAACCTGGACTGATTTAACACCAGCTTCTCAGGGAGCTTCCTGTTTCCGGCTGCTTCCCTGAACCCACTTGTGAAGAACAGGCAGTCAACTGAAGTAGTAGGAGCCAGTTAGGTCCTTAAGACGCTGATATCTTCCCTCACTCAGGGCCTGCTACCAGCCTGCTTATTGTCCCCTTCAAGTGAGTGTTGAGAGCTACTATAGCTGGCACAGAACAGCAGTCATGAGTGAAAGAAGAAAACGCCCCTCTGGGGCAGCATTCAGAAAAAGAAAGAAAGCAAAGGGAGCTTTTCTATCTAAGCGGGAAGGGGCTCTCCTGAGATACACAGACACAAGCATTCACGGTGAGCCTTCCGGCCCCAGTGAGAATATACAGGTGACCTGGCAGCTACTGCAGCATCCATATCTCCATCTCAAATGGATGTAACCATGCACATTCCTGAAGAAAAGTGTAGATCAGAGAAGAGTGTGGTGGAGGCACCAGAAACAGCTGCTGCTGAGTTTAGTTCCTTAAGTCGAGATGATCCAGGACTGTGGACCCACTTGAGCACTAGCTTGAGGGACTTCCTTGTACTGCATGGGCCACAACAAGTGAAAAACTTCATGTTCCACAAAGACAATGAAAATAAAAGCTTCCATCCAACACATTACTGGTGTGAAATCCCCAATGGTGACAAAGTGGAGAGGCCATGGCTTATGTACTCAAAAACCCAGAATGCTCCATACTGTTTTTGTTGCAAACTCTTCCAGTCTAATGTTCCAGCCACATTGGGTTCTACAGGAACAAAGGACTGGAAAAATCTGTCTAGAAATCTGGCATGCCATGAGAAGGCAGCAAATCACCAGAGAGCATTCCATAGGTGGAAAGAGCTTGAGATGAGACGAAGGTTAAAGGCCACCACAGAGGATCAGCATCAAGAGAAGATTGCATCAGAGTCTCTTTACTGGCAAAATGTTCTGAAAAGGCTCATTGCCATTGTGAGAATGCTTGCTACCCAAAACCTAGCGCTGTGTGGCATTTCAGATCAGCTGTATGTGCCAAACAATGGAAACTTCCTTAAAATTGTGGAGCTGATGGCTGAGTTTGATGCTGTACTCCAGGAACATCTAAGAAGAGTCACCACGCAAGAAATGTGCAAGCACCACTACCTTGGAAAAACAATTCAAAATGAGATCATACAGTTACTGGCAACAAAAGTCAAACAGAAGATTGTGGCAGATCTGAAGTCAGCAAGATATTGCTCTGTTATTCTGGGCTGCACACCTGACATCAGCCATATGGAACAAATGACTTTAATGGTGCGTTTTGTAACAATAGAACCTAGTGAAAATGTCCCTGCAATGGTGACTGGCAGAGAGCATTTTCTAGAATTTATTGACATTGATGATACTACAGGAGCTGGTATGACAAATGCGCTTCTTAAAAAGCTGGAAGATACGGGAATTGCGATAACTGACATGAGAGGTCAGGGCTATGATAATGGTGCCAACATGAGAGGAAAGAACAGAGGAGTGCAGACACGGATCCAAGAGTTAAACCCTTGAGTTTTTTTTGTCCCATGCAGTTCTCATTCATTGAACGTGGTGGTCAGTGATGCAGCATCAGCTTCTAGTTAGGCTGCTGAATTTTTTAATGTGATTCAAAGCATCAATTATTTTTCTCTGCATCAACTCATTGATGGCAAATTTTGACACAACAGCTGGGAACATCCTCTCTGACACTGAAACCATTGAGTGCCACACAATGGGAAAGTCGAGTGGAGGCGATAAAACCTCTCAAACACCAAATTGGGAAGATAGATGTTGCCATTATGGAGGATAATGCTATGACAGGAACTGTTCGTTGGAGAACAGTGGCAGAGGGAAATGGAATAATCAGAAACATACATAACTTCAAATTTCTGTGTGGCTTAGTGTTGTGGCATGACATACTGTTTGAAATAAATGTTGTAAGCAAGAGACTCCAAGGTGTTGACCTTGATATATCTAGAGCAATGGAATAACTGGACACAGGAAAGTCATACCTACAGTCTTACCGGTCAGATGAGGGATTTCAAAACATTCTGAAGAGTGCACAGAAATTGGCAGAGGAACTTCACACTGAAACTATTTCCCACCCATTCAAGAATACAAGAGTCACCGAAGAAGACATTTTGATTATGAGGCACAGGATAATCCCATAAGAGACCCCAAACAACAATTCAAAGTTGAATTCTTTAACCAGGTGCTAGATTGTGCAATACAGTCAGTTGAAGAACGTTTCATGCAGCTCAAGGAACACAGCAGTATATTTGGGATGTTGTATGATATTCCAAAACTCCTCACTATAGCTGAAGAAGACCTACACTAGCAATGCAGGGCACTAGAGACAGTGTTGACATATGCTGACATGGGCGATATTGATGCGAGTGATTTAGGTGATAAACTAAAAGCCCTTTCAAGATACATTTCAGCAGGATCAACTCCAAAGACTGTTCTGGAATATATGTACACAGATATGATGACCACCCTCTTTCCAAATGCTTTTGTTGCTCTGCGCGTACTTCTAACACTTCCTGTAACAGTTGCCAGTGGAGAACGCAACTTCTCCAAGCTGAAGTTAATAAAAACACATCTACGCTCCACAATGACACAGGAGAGGCTGGTCGGCCTTACAGCCATCTCAACAGAGCATGAGCTGGCCCAGACTATGGACCTTCATTAAGAAGCAGTTCAAATCTTTGCAACCAAGAAGGCGCGGAAAGCACCACTTTGATTATTCAAACAGATAAAATGCCCGTGTTTACTATGCAGACAAGAGAAGTTACATTTGCTGTTCAGGCATTTGAAAGTTAAGTGTTACTTAAAATTTTTGAACAAGGCATTTTAAGTTGTTAGTTCTCCTTTAGTGGGGTAGGTAGCAGAGCAGTAACATGAGAGGAGTAGAACAGGAAGAAGGCAGAACTGAGACCTTTCAAAATTTTGGCCCCAGCAAGGGGGCATGGGGGGTGCCATTTGAGCTCCCCCGCCTCAGGTGCCAAAATGTTGTGGGCCGGCCCTGGGCCTCAGGGCCTCATCGGGTTTCCAAAATTGTATGGAGGGCCGGTTAGGGGGCCTGGCCCTCCACCCCATCCAACCCCCCCTTGCTTCTCACCCCCGTTCCCCCCCCGGGACTCCTGCCCCATCCAAGCCCCTCATTCCCTGTCCCCTGAGGGCCCCCCCAAACCCCCACCCCTGACTGCTCCCCACCACCCCATCCAACTCCTCCTCTAACTGCCCCCCTGGGACCCTTCCCCCAGCCAACTGCCCCTGACTGTCCCCCACTGCCCCATCCAACCCCCCCTCTCCTTCGTGACTGCCCCCCCAGACTCCTGCCCCCATTCAACCCGTCCACTATCCTGACCACCATCCCGAACTCCCCTGCACTCTGCCCCTCCTTACCACACTGCCTGGAGCACCGGTGGCTGGTGGCCCTACAGCTGTCCCATCCAATCACCAGGACAGGCAGCCGTGCCACCCGGCGGCACAGTGAACTGAGGGGCGGGGTCAGCCTCCTGGACCAGGACCTATGGGGCCGGGCAGGAGGGTCCCACGTGCTGTAGTTTGCCCACCTCTGACCTAAGAGACCTAGCATCCAGGTCACGGCAGAATATGTCAACTCTAAGCCTGTAGGTGCTTGTACACAGCTGTGAGCCCTCTCCTTAGGAGTCAGGCCCCTTAGCCAGTCATTTTTTCCTCCAAGACAAACAAAAGCAGATGCCCACTTCCCTCTGACCCCCAGTGTTTACAACTTTTAGGTTTGCTGTGCAGGCATTCCCCCAGAACATGGGGTAGCCACATTCAAAGTCCTTTCAAAGGTGAAGTGTGGTGTGGTATGGGGTTGGTCACGCCATAGGAGACGGTCCTATCCCCCCACCTCGGGGAGACTGATCGTAGTTGAAGCCGATCCACCATTTATAAATAGGTAACTATGCATATGAGGACAAGTTGCTGAGCTTTTCTTCATCATCCTGGTGCTAGTGCACCGGGCTGGCTTGTGCAAGATCTTTGTGCCGCTTTCCTCTAAGAAAACTAAACTGTGCCTGCAAAGGGCATTAGGTGACCACAGTATGTTGCTGTCATCCATCTCCCAGACTTCAGTTTCTTAGACCTTTCTGGGTTTTTTGAGAAGACCAGAGGAGGATGCAGCAGATCCCTTTAAACATTGGGTTAGAGAAGTCACACAGGATCTGAGAAACCTGCAGGCAATTGACCTGTTCTTAGGGTTGCTTAGGGATTTGAACTTGTTTCCCACCACTCATCAGTATGCTCCATACACTGGGCAAGAGCAGTCTAGAATGCAACTTTGTAGCATTATGTATAAATAATGAACTAGGCCTTGGGCTAGAAGAGGGATTGACAACCTTTGGCACGCAGCCACTCAGAGAAATCTGCTGACAGGCTGGGATGAGTTGTTTACCTACAGCATTCGCAGGTTCGGCCGATCGCAGCTCTCACTGGCTGCAGTTCACCATTCCAGGCCAGTGGGAACTGTGAGCGGCTGAACCTGTGGTTGTTGCAGGTAAACAAACCATCTCGATCTGCTAGTGGATGTCGCTGAGGGGTCGTGTGCCAAAGATTGCTGATCCCTGAGCTACACAAAGACAAAGAATGATGCTCTAGCACCATGGGGGAGGGCTGGTTTGGATCTTAGAAGACAATTTTCCAGGTTCCTTCTGGGACCAACAGCACATCCCCCTCAGAAAGGGGGCCGTGCCTATCTGACCTGGTGGGAGGTGCTCCTCGATACTTGGCATTCATAGGGGAGAGATCTTTTTCCAAGAAAAGGAGAGGCCATCAGTCTTTAGTACATTTACCCAAGCTCTTTTAGGGATCCACCCATCCTACACTGATGTGTAGCAAGACATTTACTGAGAGTTAGGCCACCCATATTTTGCATGCCCTAACTCCAGGGCTATTTAATACCCCTGACAGGTGGGGGTTCCCTCTCTACTGTTGAACCTGAGCCCCTGTGTGTAAATAATTAAATATACATTGGGCCAAAGAGGCTCACACTATAGCCACGGGATTAGAGCGGAAACCTAGGTTCCTGTTTCTTCCAGGAGTCCAAATCCTGCTGGCACAGGCAGGTACGTGCCTACACCATTTGGGATGTGGCACTGTGATGACCCCCCTCTTCCAGGCTTAGGTGCCACACTCCTGCTGTTTTTCTATGGGGGTATTGAAAGGGCTAGAGCACCCTGATAATATCTAACTTAAGCACCTTAAAAGGGCTTTTATCCCACAGTCCACACCACCCTGTACATCTATCTTTATGTCTCCCACAGCCATGAACTTATCATTACCCCATTTTCCACCCAGCCACACCATTTCCCGAAACACCTCGAAACCCTCACCTTCCGATGGTGAACTACTTACTATCCCCAATCCTCAGCAGTTCTCCCATGAATGCCAGACTGCTAAATTAACCCATTGTGCTTTTGCTCCAGACCACCTACCACAGGCCCCAAAGGCAAATGCTTACTTCTGCTGCCTGAGTTGTCAGGTGTCTGTACTTTAAGTGCCTGCTGCTTTCTGGTTGTGCTGAGTCATGGATTCAAATACCAAACAGGCCCCCCCCTTTAAAGCCAGGCTTGTAACGCCATTATACGGCAGTAATTGTAGGCTCTTTTAGGATAATTCTTTCAAAAGGCCACAACACACTCATCCAAGATGTTACATAAAGTCGTGCTTTTTGGGTGGGGTAATACTGTTTTCCTCGCCTCATGTGTCCCTTTCTGCTACTTTGATCATACTAACACCGATGACCTATTTTGAGAAACCAACCAAGCGAGAAATATAATCACAGTGAATTTATTTTAGCACATTACATAAGAATGGCCATACTGGGTCAGACCAAAGGTCCATCTAGCACAGTATCCTGTCTTCTGCCAGTGCCCCAGGGGGAATGAACACAACAGGCAATTATCAAGTTATCCAGCTCCTGTAACGCCAATTCCCCTCTTCTGGTAAACAGAGGCAAAGGACACCCTCCCTGCCCAGGCCCACTCCTAGCCATCGATGGACCTAGCCTTCAGGCATTTATCTAGTTCTTTTTTGAATGTGGCAACAACATCCTTGGGCATGGAGTGCCATAGGGTGACTGTGCGTTGTGTGAAAACAACATTAAAATGACTACTAATTGGACCCTAGTTAAATATTTGTTATTTTGGAGGAAATTGTGAAAGTACTATAATAAACTGTACATACAGTAGGTCAATAACTACTTGAAAGAGAAACTGGACTATAGAAACCAACTGGAAAAACAGAATGTAACTCTTTGACCAGCCTGGCCCTTTTTTAATGGATTTGCCAGTTGCAGAAAAATAATTTAAGCTGCTGGGATTTTTTTACGTGGATCTAAAGATTTGCATTACCATCACAATACACTGGGATATCTAATGCTAGAAGTTTCTGTGTCCAGCTAAAGATGTTGCAGTGTTCCCAAGTCCATGATTTAAGGAATAACAGATCAAAACTGTTGAAAATACAGCAGCTGTCGGCACACAAGCACACCGTGCATGCATGAGAGAGGGTTCGAGTTACACCAGAGTGAGGAGGTGTGTGATATTATCAATCTTATCTGTATGTTGGTATCACTCTAGATACTATAAGTGGCTGTTGAAGGGGAAGGTTTGTGGAGTTGGCCTGTGGTTCGGGTTGCAGTGGGCTTGCCTGGGGAGGGGTGGGTAAGAGCAGGTGAGGATGTAAATACCACCTTATTTTGTGGTAGAAAAATAAAAATGTCAAATTGACTGCAATCATACTATGATTGTAGTTTCAGAGTCCGGGCAGTGCTAGTGGGGCAGAAGAGTAATGTTTGGCTTAAATGTTGAGTAAGAACAGGAGGTGAAAGCTGTACTAGAAATGGTAAGTGCTAGAAGAAAAAGATACTTAACTAATAAGAGGAAGAAACAATGGTGTTTTTAAATGCCTGACATGGCTTAAAAGTTAAAAATTAATTTCATACTAACAGCTACAGTGAGGTTTTGATATTAACCATTTCAAAAAAAAAAAAGGTCATGCTTCCCCTGTTCAATGGTGCTTTGTGTTTTTGTTTTCAATACAATGTAGCATTCACTGAAGGGCTAGAAATAATATTTTTATCCACAAAATAGGCACAGTACTTGCAAAAGCAGTGCAAGCCCTCCACCGCTGTATCTTAATCCTGACACACAGGGACGTCCGCTTTAGAGAGTACTATAATTTTTAAAAAGAAAAGGAGTACTTGTGGCACCTTAGAGACTAACCAATTTATTTGAGCATGAGCTTCCGTGAGCTACAGCTCACTTCATCGGATGCATACCGTGGAAACTGCAGCAGACTTTATATATACACAGAGAATATGAAACAATACCTCCTCCCACCCCACTGTCCTGCTGGTAATAGCTTATCTAAAGTGATCATCAGGTGGGCCATTTCCAGCACAAATCCAGGTTTTCTCACCCTCCACCCCCCCCCCACAAATTCACTCTCCTGCTGGTGATTGTGTAAAGAGTTGTCACTTTGGATGGGCTATCACCAGCAGGAGAGTGAATTTGTGGGGGGGGGTGGAGGGTGAGAAAACCTGGATTTGTGCTGGAAATGGCCCACCTGATGATCACTTTAGATAAGCTATTACCAGCAGGACAGTGGGGTGGGAGGAGGTATTGTTTCATATTCTCTGTGTATATATAAAGTCTGCTGCAGTTTCCACGGTATGCATCCGATGAAGTGAGCTGTAGCTCACGGAAGCTCATGCTCAAATAAATTGGTTAGTCTCTAAGGTGCCACAAGTACTCCTTTTCTTTTTGCGAATACAGACTAACACGGCTGTTACTCTGAAACCTATAATTTTTAGTATCAGAGGGATCTGTAAAACGGCAAAGAGTCCTGTGGCATCTTATAGACTCAGACGTATTGGAGCATAAGCTTTTGTGGGTGAATTTCCATGACATGAATCCGACGAAGTGGGTATTTCCAGAGGCAGGTATAAATATGCAAGCAAGAATCAGGCTAGGGATAATGAGGTTAGTTCAATCAGGGAGGATAAAGGCCCTCTTGCAGCAGTTGAGGTGTGAATACTAAGGGAGGGGAAACTGCTTTTGTAGTTGGCTAGCCAGTCACAGTCTTTGTTTAATCCTCAGCTGATGGTGTCAAATTTGCAAATGAACTGAAGCTCAGCAGTCTCTCTTTGAAGTCTGGTCCTGAAGTTTTTTTTGCTGCAGGATGGCTTCCTTTAAATCTGCTATTGTGTGTCCAGGGAGAGTGAAGTGTTCTCCTACAGGTTTTTGTATATTGCCAATCCTAATATCTGATTTGCGTCCATTTATCCTTTTATGTAGGGACTGTCCAGTTTGGCTGATGTACATAGCAGAGGGGCATTGCTGGCACATGATGACGTATATTACAGAGGCACCGCATACTGGCTTGGCTTACTTTCACCTCTGGAAAGGGGCAGTACAAGTAGTTGCAAGGGGAAATTTGGAGGCAAATGCTGATTTAAAGGTGTTTAATACCAGTTTATGTAATCAATTACCCAAGGGAAAACACTGGAAAAAAAATGCTGTACTTCTAAAATACTCACATATGGAAGAATATAAATAAAACAGCAACTGTGCATCTAGAGTATCATCAAACTATATTTGCAAATTTATTTTCTATTAAAAAGCAATATTTCATTATAAAATTCTGTAATGCAGTTGGACTCTCCTTCTGAATGATTAATAACAGAAATCAGACACTCAAGGGAAAAACATAAAAGGAATTGCATATACGCATTAGAAACCCGTACAGTAGACACTACATGAATCACTAAGACAGGCAGACAAAACAGTAACATTTATTGACAGAATAAAAGAACAGTAATGAACAGAGCGCTAGCAACAAATAATAGGTTTATGTTCTGCAATTTATGAGAACTATGACAAATACAAAAAAAATCTGCAGTTTAGGAAATCTCTGGCAAAAACAGTAACGTGTATTGGATTCAAATAAAAAAAGCATACAAGATTAATACCAGGACAATACATATTTTCCATTTAAAGAATATATGAATTACATACTTCAATAAAAATTCTGAAGGAGTTTTTTTCTTGCATTCAGCAAAGATTGATGTGCTAGAAATTGAGTGGGTTAAGATTTCCCATTGGCTTCATCTCGGGAGTCCAAATATTGTTTTAAGTGTGTAAAATTGGAGAGAGAAGTGCTAAGAATGTTTTTAAATTTTTCCTTTCTCATTTACTTTTCTTTAAGTGAAACTGTCAGCAGAAAAGTCAAACAACTGAGTGCTAAAACAATATTACCACTTATAAAGGCACAATAGTTTCCAGACACTGTACGAAGATCCATCTCCTGACCTTCATTGACCAGTTTTTCTGCAGTCATTACAAAATGAGAATATATAAAACCCTACACTTTATCCCAAAATAGAGGAGATTACAGTATCTGTAAAATCAGTGGTTAATATAAAAAGCTAAGCTTATTGTGGAAATTACATTTCCAACATATTGTAAACATTTTTGTTACCTGTGGAGACCTCAAAATATTCTTTGGTAGTTTTTACACGGATGCTTAAGGGATCTTTGCAACTGTGCAATTTTATACTTTTTTAAATAAGAAAATTGCTCTTGGAATATTTTACATTAGCTAACTTTGCATCATTTTAAAAAATGAAGTGTGCATATATCCTTTTAACAAAGCGGATGTATCTTTTTAACCAAATATTTCCTAGTTATAAGTAGCTGTACTTAATTGTTTTGGCCAAAAACCCATTTTTGGAATAGATCTGATGGATTACAGGATACCAAACTTGGATGTTCTCCATTTCCCGTAAGGCACATATTTAATGCTGCATTATGTAACAGTTGATCCTAGAGAGGAGAAGGGAGGGAAACAAAACAACACACAGAGTAAGTTTAAATGTTTGTTTGTAATTTTTTGTGAATTTACTGCTAGTTTTTTAGGGTGGGGCCCAACAGGTAGACTCAGAGACTGAAACCCTATTTATTCAAACAGGTAAAGCAGCATGCAATGGCACAACAAACTGCCCCACATTGTCCCACAAATTTATATCAAGCTGTCAGGGAGGGGCCACTTCTAGGGATGAAAGAAAAGTCCATTCTCTATGCCCAGTTGAGCCTTGGCATTTCCGCCAAGAGAGTTCTACATGGGTGCTAGTGCACCAATTGTTTAAGTTTTTTGTGATGTGGACATTTCTCCACTGGGACAGGACTGAGGCCGTCATTTTACATTTGCCACAGCATAGCCAACAGAATGGGCTGTATTTCAATCTGCAACCTAAAGGTGAAAATGTCTATACACTTTTTTCCCCAGGGCTGAGCTATCCATTCTTGTCTTTTGCTATAAATAAAGTCGTGTTAACCCTGTAGCAACTCGTAATTGATCAAAATCATCTTTTCTTTCAATTAAAACAGATACATCTTCATTTACTGCATAAATTGCTTGGAAGTACCTTTCGAAGTTCCCACTTCTCTTCTCCAGGGGTGAATGTTTTTTTACCTCTGTAGTTACAGACCTGAAGCTGCACTGGTCCTTGAGAAGCATACAGACAAAGCTCCTTCTGAATGTTATGTCGAATCTCAGAGTGTTCAGAGTATTCAAAGTACTATATAAATAAAAATTAAATACATTTTAACATATATTAGGTGGAAACAAGCAACCACAGCAACTAAATTAATTCCTTGAAATTCCATGACAAAAACAAGTCAAGTTTAAAAAAAGTGTATCATTCTAGAGAGACATGGTGGGTGAGGTAATATCTTTTATTAGACCAACTTCTGGTGGTGAGAGAGACAAGCTTTCGAGCTACACAGAGCTCTTCTTCAGATCTGGAAAACTAACTCAATAGCTTGTCTCTCTCACCACCAGAAGTTGGTTCAATAAAAGATATTACCTCACACACCTTCTTTCTCTAATATCCAGGGACCAATACTCCTACATCACTCTTGCATACAACATTGTATCATTCTGTTATCTAACAGTTTAAACACAGAATCCAGGTTCAAATATTTATCATGCATGTTATGCAAATATTTACATAAGTTAAATATTCATATACATTTGCTTACATGGAAACTTAGTAAGTATTACAACTAGTATTTTTAATTATTACACAAAAAACTATGTTACAACCTTAATTCAGCCCCCTGAATTATGATAAAATCTTTTATTATATGATCACATTACTATTTTTCCATAGGCCCCTGCCTCATAAAAGGGGCCAAATTAAGGTTGCATGCACAACTTTAATTTTAGCATTAAAGCATAAATTTAGCACTTTTGATTACTTGACTTTTAATGTATTTCTTCTATGTAATTTACTATCATTTTTTTAAAAAGCAACTGAAAAAAACAAATTCCATCATGTGGAAATGTATTGATTCCCACTTGGTTCATTAGCAGGGTTATAACCTTTATGTCCACAGCACAGATCTCAGCCACTTGACTTCATAGAGCAGGGGTGGGCAAACTTTTTGGCCTGAGTGCCACATCAGGGTGCCTCCCCAAACAGCCTGGCCCCCGCCCCCCATATGTCCCCCTCAGAACTCACAACGCATCCAACCCCCCCGCTCCTTGTCCCCTGACCGCCCCCCCCTCGAATCTCCGCCCCATCCAACTGCCCCCTGCTCCCTGTCCTGTCCCATGACTGCCCCCCGGGATCCCCTGCCCCTTATTCAACCTCCCCGCCCCCTTACCATGCTGCACAGAATAGCAGGACTGGCAGCTGCGCTGCCTGGCCAGAGCCAGCCCCACCGTCATGCTGCCCAGTAGGAGCTCGCAGCCCCGCTTCCCAGAACGCTGGTGGCACGGTGAGCTGAGGCTGTGGGGGAGGGGGAACAGCAGAGGCGTGGCCAGGGGCCAGCCGGGAGCTCAAGGGCCAGGCAGGATGGTCCCACAGTCTGGATGTGGGCCACAGGCCATAGTTTGCCCACCTCTGTCATAGAGGAGCTGATAACAATAGTAGATTGCTGTCCTCTATGGAGGCTAGTCACTAAAAGGATATGTAGGCACACATTTTGCCAGTGTGTTTCACAACCATTTGCTGACCACAGAAGAACACTAAGATTCAGGAATCCCGGGTTATTATGGGAGTGCACTCTAGTTATTCCAGAAAATTCTGCCTATGTCCCCACCTAAAAGCTAGCCCTTCCAGCTGGTGCTTGTTACAGTTCCAGCCTCCTCTGTTCTCATCTCTCTCATTATACCAGTCTGTTCATCAGCGCCAAGTCATGATCTCCCTCATCCCTTCAACTTCAGGTCTCCCACACCCACATCTCCCTAAGGCTCTTCACCCCAGTCTCCCCCACCCCAACCTATACCACTAAGTTTGGTTCTTCACTCCTATGCACTCCAGTCAGTCAGCTTCCTCCTCACTATCTGGACCCTAGCAGGGGGAGCACTGAGAATACAGACTCCTTGCTCTCAGCTCCTGAACCCAACATCACGAAGGCCCCTGATCTCCAGGAGGAACAACTGCAGAGAAAGTCCTCTTCAGCCCCTGCTGACCTGGGATGCAGCATGCTCAGTGTACATGGAATATTCACAGAATTTAGCTCACAAACTCTAACATATCTCTACTGAGCATATGCTTAACAGAGATTTTAGACAGTCAAAAGTCAGCCAAGTTTTGGCAGGTTTTTACAGGGACTGTAAAGGCACATCCCCAATATCAGTATGACCACCTTTCCAGATTTTAAGCCCCTACTCCAAAACAGAGTTGCTAAATATGGAGTTTAGTATTTTTCCCTAATCTTTCTGAGATATAGCTGTACCATTTTTGCTGAAATAAAAAAAATTACCTTGAGGCAGACACCCAGCATGGAAAATTTCAACCCAAACCAATAAAGTTTAACAAAGTTTATAAACAACAGAAAATGCATTGTTATAACAGGAAGTGCTGAGCATCTTTAACTGCACACATCACTACCAGCACCATCTATTATAAATACAGATTTTAAAAGAATTTTAACAAGATTCAGAATATTATGATTGAGCAGAAAAAAAAATGTGCAATTTTGCTTCACTTCACCAAGACAAATTGTTAAAGTAGATATGGCAGACTCGGCCTTTATGTGGCAGATCTTTTAATACCATGCTTTTGTACCAAGGTTGGGTAAATCGCTAAAGAGATTAATATAGAATCATAATCCCTCAAGTAACATAGTGAATGGGATCCAAAGGAAAATGCTGTGTAACATAGCAAGTCAGCTAGCCCAGACCTACAACTGCCCTTTTCTCATTTAAATTAATAGGGAAAATTTCCATTTACTTTAATGGTGCAGGATCAGACTCCTAGGTTGTGCAGCTGTTAAATACTGTTAACAACTGAATATATCATAGATAACATCCAATGATTTTACTGAGAAAAAGAGACATAAAAAAAAGATTTGAGGAAAAAAAACAGGTATCAAATCAGCAGTGAGATAACTTTTCAGTTACAACTATTTTTATTAAACACGTACTGATGTTTACAGTGGTTTTAGTAACATTTACTACTAATGACTGTGTGAGGCAGCATTTAAGAAAGCAGCATAGACAGTTCTTTTTTGTTTTGTTTTTTAACACTACAGTAGTGGCTAGAGGACCTGAGTCCTCTATCAGAGATGCACTGTGCTGTATGCTGTACAAACACACATTAAAAGGCAATCCGTGCCCCAAGAGCTGTGTGTCAAGAAGAGCTCCTGTTGGGAAATTCAGGAATTTAAAATGTTATATTTCTCAAAATGCTAGATTGGCACAGGGCAGACCACTCTGACCTCCCACTATGAAGCTGTAAGCATGACAGGGCAGGTAGCTCAGGCCTGGCTGTTCGATCATGCACTGACAGTTTCCCACCGGCTTCCTCCTTGACAGCGTGAGTCCTGGTGACAGAGAAAGAAGCAGTAGGAGGAAGAATAAGAGAAAAGAAGAGTCAAGATAACATTTACAAAGGAAAAGCGGGGGAAAAGAAGTGTTTCTGTAGCAGAGACGTCAAATGAGGAAGAACTGCAAGTTGTGTGACAGAGCCAGTGAACTGGTGTCATGTGGCTGAGATATCTATTCTGTGCACTTTCAGAAGTGTGCCCCTGTAAATTCCACTAAGGGAACGCTTACTGAGTAGCCCAGTAACCTCAGAAATGGAGGTTTAACCCGTCCTGAGAATACAGTTATACTAGAAATTTGCACCAACAATTTGCACCAACAAATTCTAAATTCAAAAGAAATGGTCCTCCGTAATACAGTTTGCAATTATTGCAGTGTCAGCTTCTGCTATTATAGGTGAAGACACCCAAAGCTATTTCTTTTAACTAATTTCAAACCACTTCTATGGTAAAAATACCATTGTGAGTGTATGCAATTTCTCACTTGTATGAATGCGCCTGGGTGTTTGTCTGTCTAAAGTTACATGTGCAGTTTTTGTGCAAGCAATTTTGAAGAATTGAACCATAACAGCGAAATATCACAGAAAATTCCTTGCAATTTTTACATTTACTATCCTCTCATGCAAGAATATATAGGTAACAAAAACCATTAGCTTATCTTCATACTAAAATATGTATGCCAATACTACTAGAAGGAAAATTAAGCTTGGGATAGGGATATGTTATAGCTGTGTGGACTAGCTGCGAAAGAAATTAAGTACAACAACATTTTACCTGGTTTCCCCCAAGTCCATGACAAGTATACATAATTAATGGTTTGCCACCATGGTTATTTTCGCCAACATCCAGACATAGACGTCTACCTACATTTTTTAACTGAAGAAAACAGGTTATTTTTGCATATAACTAAGTTATTTAAAACTTGCCAACAATTAAAAAGAGTAAACAGCTATTTTACTTAAAGTTCCATCTTTAAATGTACAACCCTGTCCACACTAGAAGTTAAATCTTTGCTAGACAAAACCTCATTATTGTATTCTGATAGTACCGACAATAGGTTAGGCATTGTGCACACACTCAAGTAGACATATTCTATATTCTGAACAGCTGGCAATATAAGAAGGCAAGCAACCTATTAAGGTTGTAGGAGACAGCTAAAACAAAATAGTTTACAATAAACATTCACTACTCCCAAATGCACCTGACCTTAACCAATATTAGTAGGCTAATATAGGACTATAACACGTGAGGAGTAACATTGTGGCCTTATAGATAAGTGCTGAGAAGGAATCCACATGCAAGAGACAGTGTGGAAGGAGCCAAAGACAGTTGTGGGAAAAGCTAAAACAGGATTCTAGCAGTTTCCCTCATCAGTTTGAGCAGGGATTTCTCTCTGAAAACCACTTTACAGACCATCTAAAGTTGCATTTATACTGACAGTTTCTGGAAAAATCTCTCACCATTTAACTAACACTGCTGCTGCAGCCGCTTCAGAGCTAGAAAATATAGGAGTACTAATGTTACTACCATCTGAACAGGGTTATCAGACATCAGTCAAGTAAAAAGGGCACCTGTGGAGCTACATCAGTGCTAGTGATGAGGGAGATTTTCATAAAAAATACCAGTATACACAAGGTTAAAAGAATCAGTCTAAAGAATGTTCTTCTAGCAAAATTTGGAGAAAAGAATTCCCACACTAGTCAGGGAAATTCTAGAACCATGCTAACAATAACTGAATTAAACTTGCTAGTACTATTTTTTATTCTACTTTAGGGTTGAAATCAGGCAAACTTTAGTGGTAGGATTATATAGTGAAACAGAAATTAACCAAAATTGGAAATACACTCACAAATCCAGATAATGGAGGATTCAGGTCTGGTACATATGCCTCAGGATAAACATTATTTAGATACCAAGTAAAATTTTTACACTGTAGCCGCTGCCTCAAATCAAGTCTTTTTGAGATGTCTCCAAATGTTCTCTGTTGGGAAAAAACACCCCAAAACACTAATAAATCAGATTTATATAACTAATGAAGATGCCCTGGGGAGTCGCACTAAACAAGTGCTTGAGTTTAACATTTAAATCTAAAACTATAAATATCTTTTAAAAAAATACTGGGTTGAAACAGAAAACAGCATTTAATAATTTAATACATAAAAATTGCATCTATTTGACTTATAGAGACAAAGTACCATTGACTTCTTGCACATACTTCCAACTGCTACAGGCAGAGCAAACCCATGCTTCTTCTGAAGCAGTGCTGTAAGGGTCCTCAGTGGCAACAGGGAGCAGAGAAACATTGGCTTATTAAGGCAGACAAGTTGCTATTTAAGCAATATATAAGGCCCTTTGTTTTCAATTTTTACTGATTTTTACTGAAAATTTCCCAAGTTGAACAAAAAGCTAGTTGGATTTTATTTTTTTAATCAAATTTTCACCTAAATTTGGACCACATAAGTTATGAAAATACCGATTATGTTAAGAAAATCTAACACATTACATTAGGTTAACAATAAATTAGTCTAAGTGTAAATGTGAGGCTGTCAAAGTAAGGCAATGTAGTGGAAGATACACACACATATGCAGTGCAGTTTAATGCTGTGTGTATGTACCGTCCATGTACCGTTCATGAAATAAAACACAGCATTAAACTGCTTCTGTTCTGATCTGGGATACAAAACTAATGAAGGAATATATTCCGTTCATTGCTAAGCAGGGCTTAGGGCTGTTGTCAAACTGCGAAGGTATATCTAGCGGGGCCTGCATGGGGTTAGTCTTGACTTGGATAATAAAGTGGAGAGCGTGCTTATAAAATCTGCAAATGACACCAAACTAGGAGGAGTTGCAAGCACTTTGAAGAACAGAATTAGAGTTCAAAATTACCTTGACAAATTGGAGAATTGGTCTGAATTCAACAAGATGAAATTCAATAAAGATAAGTGCAAAATACTTCAATTAGGAAAGAAAAATCAAATGCACAACTATAACATGGGGAATAACTGGCTAGGTCAGGGGTGGGCAAACTTTTTGGCCCAAGGCCACATCGGGGTTATGAAAACGGTATGGAGGACCGGGTAGGGAAGGCTATGCCTCTCCAAACAGCCTGCCACCCGCCCCCATCCGCCCCCTCCCACTTCCAGCCCCCTGACTGCCCCCCTCAAAACCCCCACCCATCCAACCGCCCTGCTCCTTGTCCTCTGACCACCTCCTCCCAGGACCCCCACCCCTAACAACCCCCCCGGGACCCCACCCCCTATCTAAGCTCCCCTGACCGCCCCGACCTCTAGCCACACCCCTGCCACTGAAAGGCCCCCCGGGACCCCTGACCCATCCAACCCCCACTTTTTGTCCCCTGACCGCCCTCTCCTGGGACCCCTGTCCCTAACTGCCCCCCCCAGGACCCCAACCCCCTATCCAGCCCCCCGGCTCCCTGTCCCCCCCCCCCCACCAGGACCCCCTGGGACTCCACCCCCTATCCAAACCTCCCTGCTCCCTGTCTCCTGACCACCCCCCCTTCCCGAAACTCCACCTCATCCAACTGCCCCCGTCCTTGGACTGCCCCCCGGGACCTCCTGCCCCTCTCCCCCACCCCCTTACCAGGCTGCTCAGAGCGGCAGGACAGGCTTATTGGAAAGCCTGGGAGGTGGGCAGGCACAAGCCGTGCTGCTGGCGTGACTGCGGGGGAGGGGGGCTAGTGGGGGAGGGGCCGGGGGGGCAAGCCTCCCCCGCCAGGAGCTATGGGGCCAGGCAAGACAGTCCCACGGGACAGGTGTGGCCCACGGGTTGTAGCTTGCCCACCCCTCGGCTAGGTGGTTTACATCAGGGATGAATTTGGCCCAAAGTTACTAACCGTGGTTTAGTTTACAGCCTAAAAAGGTACACATGGACAAGATTCAAATCTCACACTAGATACTTTGTTATAAAACAAAATTAATAAATGTGAAAATGCATCTAAACAGATTATTCTATTTTAGATGTTTTACTGTATATTTTGGTGTAGTACAGAGATTCTCAAGCTGTGATCCAAGGACTGCTTGGGTTCACAAACTAAGTCTAAGGGGTCCACGAAAGACAGACTGAAAACTGACTGAACAGAATTCAACTCTATATACAGACAACAGATTTCCAAAGGGGTCTGCACCTCCATTTGAAAATTTTTAGGGATCTGCAAATGAAAAAAGGTTGAGAACCACTGATGGAGTAGTTACAGCAGAAAACAAATTTCAATTAAGTGTCAGTGTTTCTTCTATCTCAAGGCAAAGATATTTCAGTAGCCTGATGGTTGCCTAATACATTTCCACTGTTCAGGAACTTAGTTGTAGTTTTTCCTACAAACTTTCTGTTCACAAATCATTTGCTTAACAGCAGCAGCAACAAAAGGCAGCTTTTTAAAAGTCACCAAATTTTGGGCAATGAAACCATTTATCAGTTTCCAGCATTTTCATAAAAATACGCCAATTCAATTTTTTTTTGCTTACAAAGGGCTTTATTAATAAGCTGTATAAATGAGCAAAAACATTTTTTATGATGTAAAAATGGAATTATGCCATTTGGTAAAATGAAAGGCCTGGAAAAACTGTTTTTTGAAATAGATCCATTTTTTTACTTTTTATTACTCCACCAAAAACATATTTTTGATCATCAACATTTTTCAAACAGCTCTGTGATGCGGCTTAACCACTTCTCTAACAGGTGACAGGCGTAAGAGCCAATTAGTGCACCTGTGATTGATGGATTGATTGCCTCCTGAGCTGAGGGGGCAGATTTAGGTAAGGATCATTAGACACCTGAATCTTATACAGAATCCAAGGTGTTCAGTAGAAAGAGGACTGGACTCTTCTGTGGAGAGAAATCCACGGGGTTGGGGGGCAAAGATAGGGTTTAAGCAGGCAAGAGGCTCCACAGGGAGGAGGTTACGTTCCTGTGGGGGAGGTTCTAAGTTAGGGTAGTTAAAAACACTTCAATGGAGTGAAAGAGGGATTAGTTCAGAAGAAAAAGGAGAAGCTGCGAGGATCTAGGAAGATGCTAGGGGCCTGAGAACTAAAGGGAGGCTGTATTAAGCACAGAGTGTGGGGAAAAAGCACAAGGAGGCTTAGAGTTAGGAAGTGGCCCAGGGAAACAGCAGCATGTCTGAAGAAGCACAGCTAGCTGCTTCATACAGGGTCTCTGGGCCAAAAGCCAGATTAGAGAGTTGGCCTTGTTTCCCCTAGTAGCCCCTGAGGCAGGGGCATGAAAGTGCAGTGGAAAGAATATTAAGCTCAGGGTGTGACTGAAGACTGACCCCAAAAGACAGGCTTAAGAATAACCCCAAGAGGTTTTTGGACCTAGTTACCCTGGAAGGGGACTGAACTTTATGGGACTTGGCTGGAGGACTGAGCCAGAGGACTGAGCCACAGAAGACCCAGTGAGAGGTATAACTATCTACAGGATAGGCTGGTGACAAGGATTCCTTGCAGCATTGTACTCTGACATAAAGGTGTGGTGAGTACGCTACTTTACAAGCTCTAATTATAGGACTTTAAAGAGCAAACAGAATTCAAGAGTAAGTGAAACACCTATCTTTATTTACTGGATATTTGAGCAAATAAAACATTGTCCTGCCTAGTACTTTTGATTAGAATTTCTAGAAGTCTTACATACTTTTGTCAATAAATAACTTTTGCTCACCAAAACTTTCAGTGCAGCAAGAGTGATTTCTAATACCACCACCACCTACTTGTTTCACAATTTTTCCTGCTTCTATGTTTCTCCGGTAAAATATTTCTTTATATTCATCCATCCAGACTTCTGCAAGGCGAACTTGATTACGTGTGATCACTTGAGTGCCTTTTGGAAAAGTATGGGGGCTCTTGCTGCGAAAGACATGGCCAACAACAGAGCAAGGCATGATCTCCAATTGTCCACCACATTGCCATACCTGGTGATAGAATTTTTACAAAGTCTAAAAACAACATATACTTTATACTTTACAATTTTAATGTTTCATCTTAAGCACCCAGGTAAGAGCTCTAGTTCATATAGCCGGTTTCAGAGTAACAAGCGTGTTAGTCTGTATTCGCAAAAAAGAAAAGAAGTACTTGTGGCACCTTAGAGACTAACCAATTTATTTGAGCATAAGCTTTCGTGAGCACTCCCTTTTGTAGTGGTAAACACCCATTTTTTCATGCTTTGTGTGTATAAAAAGATCTTCTGTACTTTCCACAGTATGCATCCGATGAAGTGAGCTGTAGCTCACGAAAGCTTATGCTCAAATAAATTGGTTAGTCTCTAAGGTGCCACAAGTACTTCTTTTTCTTTTAGTTCATATCACGTTAGAAAATGGGGTTTGTTAATCAAAATTCAAATCCACAGGTGAATGTTGGAAGCATAAATTTTGGATATCAAATCCAAATACACTTTATTACTATAGTGACCAAGCCTATTATTTATTCTATTATTTTCTGCCCATAGATTACTGATAGCTCAGGTCTTCATGTTCTTTCAATCCATGACCTCTCTGGTGAATCAGTCAACTAGGGGGACACATTTACTGGACTGACGTAAGGCCAGACATAGGATTATATCTAAACTTACTCTGAAAGACATTTCTATATTTTCTCCTCCCCATATTTCCATTTCTTCATCATAGCTTCCAATATATTCAAAATAGTCTTTTGATATTGAAAAAAGACCTCCAGCAAAAGTAGGAGTTCTGCAAAAAGAGAAACCATTAAGTAAGTTACTGATGCAAGGTTTAAACTGGCTGAAGGGCTTCTCTACCAGGGGAGCTTCACTAGCATAATTATACCACTGCAGTTATAGTAGGGTAACTCCCTGTGTGGATATGCTGATTCCAGAACAAACTAAACTGGAAAAAGGCACTCTTATGCCAGAATAAGTGTTCATACAAGGAGTTATGCGAGAATAACTATAGCTGTATATCTATATCAATACATTTTCCTATGTAGACAAGTCATTAGTAAACTTTATGCATTTTTCCATCCCCATAAGTAACCAAACTATGTTGGCAGCACCTTGTGATCCAATGAGCAGACAAAAAGTTGCTGAAAGGGCAGAGGGCATCAGTAAAGATGTCTGGCCTCTTTCCAATGTATTGAGATATTGAGATCAACCACTGTGTGTGTTATTCCATGCTGGTGCTCAGCCTAAAGCCTGGCTAGATATGACTATTCACTACCATGATACTAAGCACCCCAGCTGTTCTGGAATTTGGGGGAGATTCACCTTTCTCTGTGGGTATTCTAGCAGAATTCAGTTATATGGTCTCTGAGAAGGATTGCTCGGAAAAATTTCTTAAACCATACTAAAAAGGGTCCATTTGCCATCTTCTCAGTGACCCTTAACATTTTAATTCTGGCTTTATTCTCAAGCATGCAACATCACTTCAGTGTCACTCTGCGAAAGATGTAAGAAAAACAGTCTTATGCAGATGTGGAACTTCCTGGATCAGTAGCCATAAATAACTTTTAGGCTATTTCCCTCATCAGTTTAAGCGATTCTTGAAGTATATCAAAGCATTTGTGTAGCATGTCAACTTTTATTTACAAAACCTTTTGAAAGTCAAAAAAGACTTTCTAAATATAGAAATTACTATTATGGACATAGTAGTCGATAGATATGGGTGTCTGCCATCTTTGTAAGATGATGAGCAGCACACACAACAAGCTTGTTTTCTCAGTTTGGACATTTTAACAAACTTGCCACCATCCATAAAGTCCCCACTTAGGGTTTTTTTATTTTTAATTCTTGAAGCATTTCAAGATGTGAAATATGAATAAACAGAAAAAGCTGATGCCCAGGCAGCAGAGCTAATGAAAAGTATGTATTTCCTCCCCCTCAATCTCCCCCTACACTTTTTCAATGCACCTATCATTCAAATCTATTATACATTCCCAAGATGCAAGATATAAAACACTATAAATAGGCATATAATAATTAGTCATTACTAATGAGTTACGACAGACAAGAGATCAAGAGTTCTTTAAGATATCAGGATGGATGGCACTTAAACAAACCAATGCAATGAACTTTAGAACTAAACACCAGAAAGAGAGAGAGAGAAAACAGAAAATGTGCTTGCATTCCAGGAAAATTGTTTTCACTCCACCCACATTTATACACTATTAGTCCTCCTTTGTCTAGTTTTTCTGGTAACATACATGGGATGGTTCTGCTATATTTTTGTTACCTTGCTGTGAAACAGTACTATGCCCCAGTATGAGTTTAAATAAGTGCCTGACAATGAGACAGTTTCAACCAGTATACTTTATGGAGACTAACTGTGTCTACACTAGCATTTTTTCCCTCTCTGAAATTTCTTGTAGCTGCAGATCCACTATTGGGAGTGCTAGCATAGACAGGCTACGGGCATTCTAACCACAACATTATCTAACTCAATTCAAAATGGAATTAGATGATGTAGTAGTTAAAAATTTAACTGATAGAAATGGTCATGTAGACAGACTAACACTGCTTCCACTGCTGGAAGCAATTATGGGAAATTATGAACAAAATCTAGGGGAGAAAGACAATGTGTTTATATTTATATTTTAAAGTTGTTTGTAAAAATTTGACTTGTAAAGAAATAAAATCTAGAGAAAATATTTCAATAAGTGAAAGAGCTCAAATCATAAGACATTAAGACTTCTGATTCCAGTGCTGCTATTCCCATCCTCAGGCAAAGAAGTGCTTTGTTCAGAAGTTGCTAATTAGAATTTTTTTAGCAAACAATTTGCAAAGTGAAGAATTTCAAATATTCTACGAGCTCAACTGTTTACCTAATTGGATAGGTTTCATCTTTTCTTCTTCTATTTTCATGTTCAGGAAGAGATTCCCATCCAAATGATAAACTCCAGTCAAAATTTCCTCTGTTATGGTTATGTCCATAAGGAGAAGGCTTGCTGAATTCAAAAGTATTAAGATCTATGGATGCAATGTCAGGGCTTACAACAGCAGTGTAGTTCTCAGCTATTCGTGCCAACAATGGCTCTAACCAGCCATAAAAACATTCACCTACGGGGATGAGGGGGAGGGGGAGGAGAGAAAAGAATTAATTAAATGAAGCACTGGACTTTTTCTTCACAATGAAAGAATAATTAAGGGACTATTACTGAACAGAGTCATGTTTTGTAGAATCCACACTTTTTCTTTAAAAGATTAAATGTTAGCTTAGAGGCACCTAAGTGGACTTTGCTGAGTGGACTTAGATTCTGGCATAAGTGATCATGTGTCTGAAGAAAAAAACAAGTGCTGGCATTAAAAAAAAAAAAAAAATAGCAAAACAAACTTTTACTAAAAAAGGGACCAGGAGGAGGAGAGACTGAAATGAAGATTGGGCTAGGCCCTGGGATGACAACAAGCATGAAAAAGAAACACAGCGAAAGATAGTCTGCAATCAAAGAGCTAAGACTGAAGATAATTAATGAAAGATTCGGCCCTATAAATTGTGACTTCAAGTGTGATGTGAATCCAAAAATTTTATTTCGAACATACAATTCTAAGTAATTGAGAAACAAAATATACTTTTAAGCATTTTGGAATGATTTTCCATAACAATCATTTTAGAATTTGTACTGTTTCATGAACATGAAAATACTTGGTAAATAATTCTTGACTATGCTAGAAGTTGTATTTAAAAGATTTTCCTACTCTTACATCAAATTTCACTAGTATGATCTAGCTGACTAATGTTATTAATGTGACTATTTAAAAAGTAAGTATTGGTTAGTGCTTTCCTAATAGCTGACAATTCAAATGGGAAGAGAGCCTTAAGTGTAAGCCAGCATAAACTGATCATCATATATGAAAGTCTGTCAATGTTAAAATTTATAAGTTACTTACTCACCATATAGGCCTTTCAAATTCGTGAAACCTGCACAGCCATGGATCTCTCAGTTTTAGCAAGACCACAAATCAATTCACAGCAGTAGTAGGCTGTGCTAAAGTGGTCGATGGTACCCAAGATCCACAAGAAGCTCCTGCTCAGCTACCACCAACTGCCTACAACCTTGCTGCTTCCTCTGATGAGCTACCACTAGGGTTGCCAACTCTCCAGGATTGTCCTGGAGACCCCAGGAATTAAAAATTAATCTTTAATTAAAAGATAATGTCATGCAATGAAACCTTCAGGAATTCATCCAACCAAAGTTGGTAACCCTAGTTACCACTGGAGCCTAGGGTTCCAGGGAGAGTTAGCTCCGCAGTATGAGAGCTCTAGTGAACTAGCATGGACCAATAGCAAGAGACTCCTGGGTTCAATCCCAGCTCAGATACTGACACCCTCTTACGCTAATCACTTAATCTGTCTCTGAAACTATTTCTATATATGTACAATAAGAGTAACTGTACTTAGCTACTGCACAGGAAGGTTATGACAATTAAGGTATGTTTATAAAGCACTCAAATGCTATAGTTCAGAATGCACATGCAAACCCTTCAGAGCCTATGCTCCCCATTTCCTCGTACCAACTCCAAGCGGAGTTAGACAATTTTTTTCTAAATTTTGTCAACTCTTTATAGTCCCTGGCACAAGCAACTAAACATTTCTTCTAGACAGCATTGCATTAACTTTAGCCACACTTATTTTATATTAAAAGGTAAATTTGGCAAAGTTTACATTTCTAACACTGAGAAGGAAATTAAAACAAAGTAAAATTTAAAATGATGGTTTATAAAATGAACACAATACAGTTTCCTAAATATCTCATATTTTAACTACTACTATAGATCATACACATAGCACAGATGTACTTACAATGTGCATCCAAAAAAGTAAGCGTCTCTCCTGTTGCTACTGAAGCTCCTAATAATCGTGCTGTGATTAGACCTTTTCTTTCCTTTTGTCGGACTACCTTAACTATTTGAAATTGTTTCACGTATTCATCTAGTTTATCATGCAAGTATTCTGAAAAGACAAATCAACTTCAGAGTATTCAGTAGAAACCCATTGCCTGAAATTCCTTTGATTTTTTTTCTTTAACTGTCAATGATCAACTTTGCATGCTAGTATGTTAAAATACAAATTTTGAAAAGGTTAAATTCTGCTGAGTAGCCTATGATTAAACATATTTTTGGAATTTGAGGTTCATAAAATATGTATTTGAAGAGAAACCATCCCAATTCTTAAAGCTTTAAAAGATTAAAACAATAGGTACCATTTAGAGGAGTCTAAAATAAAATCAGTATTTTTGTCACAGGTAGACACAATAGTAATAAAATTGAATGCAGGCTATGTGATTATTAAGATTCTATAGTAGGCATCAAAAGCCAATGCAAGTGTATGCAAGTCCAAATAAAATACATTTTAAAGGATTTTGCAATGTGGAAGCAAGACTTTAAAAAAAAAAAACAGAACAAAACTGAATTCACCTCTGGCAGGAGTGACTTCTACTAAAGAGCAGTTAAAAAGCAGTTCCTGTTGGTCATTACTGATTCTACTTTACAAAAAAATGATAAAAGCATTCACAGTGCAAGGGACATTTCCAATAGGCCTGCATTTTGCATTTGTATCACTTAAGCACTCAAAACCCTAATGTTGCAAGCAAACTGAGTAACTGTGCACCTAGCCACCCAAATTACATACACAAATACACGTAAGTGCAGGTTTTGCATGTACATATGGGTGCATGTGCACATCTTGCAGGCATAAACAATCAAGAGCTACAACGTTTACCTACAGTAGGAGCTCTAAATATACAGATGGGTGAAGACCTTTAAGAAGATTTATTTCCCTCTCAGGTTTAATTTTGCTTCTAAGTTTTTGTATCTTCTCACTTCCATATTAATATTAGTGGCCTTCTGCTTCTGAATGCACCTTATATCCAAATTTGTTGATATTCCCAAATACGCGGACTTGCAAACAACCATAGGTGCATTGATCTGAATGTGTGTTCTTTCAGAAGTCTGCCTCGGTATCTCAGTGTATGCAAGTTTGTAAAACTGGCTTTGTAATCATCCAAAGTATATCCACCTGTGATTATTTAGACAATTACCTAGAGCTCCACCTTTTAATACGCAATCATTTAGTACTTTTTTTTATTTTGTGGGAAAGAACGTTTCTTCTCATATTGTCCCTTATCTTCAAACACTTTAATGAGACCATTTACAGGCCTAAAGAGGGACACATGTATAAATGTTTGCAGATCATTGTAAACATTACCTATAATCATAGGTTAGTAGTAGGTTGCTTTATCCTAGGACTCCTTGTTCTACAAAGTGCAATATAACTTGGTTCCCCAAGGCTTACCATGGTCACTAATCACAGTGGCACTGTTACGCAATTTAAACTGTAAAAAAAACATTTAAAATATATAAACTTTGTGTTAGGGAGGTATAAACTTAGAACGTTGGGATGAATAGACAAGAAATCCATATTTGCCAAATAGAGTTAGAAAATAGAAGGTTTTTCTCCCTTCTGTTTTTATCTTGCATGAGAGTATTAAAACTAATTAAGTAAATTTAATTACACACACACACACGTTTAGCAAAGAGATAACTGTCTCTCTCATTCTTTCTAACCATTAATGATGCAAAACATATCACTAACTGACTAATCACAGGTGTAATCTTAACATGGATTAATTAGAAAAGTAAGATTTAAAAAAAAAATTTTTTTTTCTTACCATCTACACTGGCATCATCCACCAAAATAACTTCTTTGAGGAGTATGGCAGGGGAAGTATACATCACACTGTGTACAGTTCTTAGCAGAGTAGACCATGCTTCATTGTGAAAAACTATTATGATACTTGTAGTAGGCAGTGATGGGCAACGTTTAAATTTTTGCTCAATACATCTAAAGATTAAAAGAAGTTTTAGACTTTATATAAAATTTAATATGAACTCTAATTCAGTCTTTAAAAAACCACCCTTTTTGTAACAGAGAAATTACTGACATTTTATTTTTTCCCTCTTATAATTTCTAGTTCCATAGGCGTTGGAGAATAAAGAAATGGAAAGTGTCATACAGCATCTCAAATAGAATTCTTGATGGCCAATTCTTAATACCTCATGAATATCTATTTGGGCAATGAAGTCACTTCTGATCCCAGGAATGTCAAGTTCCTTTGAAGTAGAGTCCAGTTTTCCTCTCGGATACAACCATATATCACCCATGGAAGACAATAGGAATTGTGCATGCAGGTTTTGGCTCATCCAGTTTCTACTAGGTATTATTATTACTTACTAATCACTGAAGTGAGCATTATAGATTTAAGGGGACATTCAATAAACTGGAAGGTGGCATATTCAAAGACAATACTTTCTGGAATGCAGTCACTCAGACTGTGGAAGTCATTGAGTCCAAGAGCTTAAAAGGGTATAGCATAATAAGAATATCCAGAGTTATAATAGTAAATACTGGAAGTGAAAGGAGAGGAAAAGTCAAATGTTTTGGAGGGAATTTACACTCTCCTTCATAACCAGGCTCTAACTACTAAGGATTAGGAGAAGACTTTCCTTGGGGGAATTGCTGGACTTCTGAACTACACAAACTACTGGTCTGAGCCAGTACAGCATTTCTATGCTCCTAAAAATTTGGGCTGTCTACATGACATTACGGACAAGATGTCTTAACAAGTCAACGCTAATATTAAAGTTCATGTGTATACTATCCAGAAAGAAACCATCTTCATCTAAAAGATATAGTTTCTTAACTCCTAATTTCAAAACAATACACCCACAAATAAAGCCACATAACAGTCAACATCTCAGCAACAAAACAAAAAAGAAAAACTTTTAATTTGGTCTTTTACCCGATAAAAATGTTTGTATTGAAAATAAGAATGGTCTGGGGCTGAAAATTACCAAACTGGAAGCTAGATATGGGTTCATTCCTGCCTGTGCCACTTATGTAGCCTGTATTTCAGCATCCCCATCTGTAAGTCTGCTTAGTTCATAGGGGAGATGAAGCTTAATGCATTGACATTTTAAAGTTCTTTAAGATACTTAAATGGAATTGTGTACAAGTGCAAAGCAGGAGCACAAGTCCCAGATCTGCTGGCCTACAACATTTGAGGGCTCAGTGTACCCAGCAGACAACTCCCAAGGATGTAAGGGAAGAAAAGATTATGTTGCATGGTTTACCCATGACTGGGAGGATTGAGGAGAAACAGGAGGAGAGGGCAGAAGCTACGTAACTTCTGGACAACGGAGAAGAGGAACTACAAAGAAAGGAAGCTGCAAAATCCTTTCATGCTCCAGTCTAAAAAAAAAAAACCCAAAAATCAGTTCTACTACTACTTGCTTGAGAGGAAAGAAAGGTGGGTGGCAGCTATTTGGCAGCCAGGTGGAACAGCACAACTTCATTTTTGCCATGCATACACATCGCATCTGCATCTGAAAAAACATGCCTCAAAGACCATGTAAATAGAGGTCTTAAAACTTCATGAGAACAGATATAAACATTTCAGAATGGTTCACCAAGCAAGACAGAAAACAATTTAAAGCTTTATTTTTCCTGTGTTTAGTTATTACATATCAGCCAGATAATTCTTTTTGTTCTAAACACCAGCTGCTTCCCAATATGTATGCCATATAGATACTATAATTACCTATCAAGTAGGAGCATAAAGATTAGGTTCTTCCTGTATGTAAAAAAATGCAATCTCTTTGACTTTTGCCTTAGAGCTTTAATGTCTAGTTTAAAAAAAGGGGGGCGGGAGGGGTCATGGTTATTATAACTACCTCGACTAAGTCTTTTTTTTTTTTCCAACAAAAGGATTGGTCTTTAGAATTTTTTAACATTATGGCATTTCAAATATACTTCTTTGACTGCCAGTAAAAGTACCAACGTTTTCCATGAATTGTGTAACAATGATAAAGTGCACCAAGAAGTGGACTGAGATAACTAATTCATTTCACATAGGCTACTAGCCACTAATCAGTTGAGGACAGCTTTCAACTACTGTCATCTTGGGCATGATTATAACTAGTGACCCAAATGAGAAAGAATCCCTATCTTATTACCAATTCCCCAAACCCCTACAAATGTCATTTTATTTAAATAAATAAATAAATAAATATGCTTTTAATGATTAGTCATTTTTTCGATCACCAGCCCAGTGAAAGTGAGTGAGGGGGGTGGAGGGTTGGGGGGGGGGCAGGGCCTCGGGTAAGGGGCATGGCAGCGGTGTTCGGTTTGGTGCAATTAGAAAGTTGGCAACCCTACCAACTACTGTTTCTCCACACAGCCTTGCCACTCCCAGTGCCCATTTAAGCAGAGAATAATACTTCTGTTGAATAGTACCAGTTCTTTTTAGTAGGTTTCAGAGGAACAGCCGTGTTAGTCTGTATGCGCAAAAAGAAAAGGAGTACTTGTGGCACCTTAGAGACTAACCAATTTATTTGAGCATGAGCTTTCGTGAGCTACAGCTCACTTCATCAGATGCATACCGTGGAAACTGCAGCAGACTTTATATATACACAGAGAATATGAAACAATACCTCCTCCCACCCCACTGTCCTGCATACAGCATACCAGCAGGACAGTGGGGTGGGAGGAGGTATTGTTTCATATTCTCTGTGTATATATAAAGTCTGCTGCAGTTTCCACGGTATGCATCTGATGAAGTGAGCTGTAGCTCACGAAAGCTCATGCTCAAATAAATTGGTTAGTCTCTAAGGTGCCACAAGTACTCCTTTTCTTTTTAGTAGTTATGTGATGAACTCCTGTTCTCCGAGGACTGAGCTAACACCAAACTCACTCATTTATTTTGTAGATGAAGGTGGGCCCCTGGTCGTACATCTGAAAAAATAAATCAAGATTTTTGTTTCTCTTTGTGACGTATGTCACAAAATTGTTCTGAATCCCACTGCTAGATTCTATGTACTTCAATAGGGAGGTGTAAACATTTCATTTATGGATGTGGTGGTAATCCCTTGAGAGCATCTCAGAATGCCAGTTTGTTGCCCTGTCTGAACTTTAAAAACATCTTTGAGAAACTCTGCATTTGTTTTATTCATTTGTTTTCACTGAGGTTTAGGGTATAGAATTTGTTTCAAACAAAAATGGATGGCTAGTTGTTGGAGTTATTTCTATAATTATTTGAACCTCAGAGCTCTAGTGAGGCCTTTGCAGACTTTATAAACTTCTTAATATGTTTTGTGGAGTTTGTAAGAAAAACAAAACAAAAAAGCATAGATCTGATTCAAAGAAATTAGACGCTTTGCAGACAAATCCTCTGAAAGTTGTAATTTCTGGAAGCCAATCAGATTCTGCTCAAGGATATTAGAATTTTAAAGCTATGCTTCTTCCCGGATCTGCAAGCACTATTCAGAGCTTACAAGTTTAACAAGACTATCTCTGTGGACCTTGTAAACTGTGTACTTACTGTTTATTGTCTATAAAGTTTACAGCTTGTGAACACTATCAAGCTCTGAGCCAACAAGTAAGGCCTCTTCCAAAGTCAGACATGGACCTCTATATTTTGTAAACTTGTTTTTACCTATGACAGTGGTTCCCAACTCTGGTCCACCACTTGTTCAGGGAAAACCCCTGGCACACCAGGCTGGTTTGTTTACCTGCCGCGTCTGCAGGTTTGGCCGATCGCGGCTCCCTCTGGCCGCGGTTCGCTACTCCAGGCCAATTTGGGCTGCAGGAACAGCGGCCAGCACATCCCTCAGCACACACCACTTTCTGCAGCCCCAGTTGGCCTGGAGCAGCAAACCACGGCCAGTGGGAGCCGCGATTAGCCAAACCTGCGGACGCGGCAGGTAAACAAACCGGCCTGGCCCGCCAGAGGCTTTCCCTGAACAAGCGGTGGACCAGAGTTGAGAACCACTGGCCTATGGATTTTGTAAACTGCATGGGCATAACACAAATCTATGAGACCCATCACACCAATATTAATGGCTGAAGGAATTTAAAACCACTACAGACACGCTCAAGCAAAGAAGGTGTGTTCTAGAAGAGAAATAAGGGCTTGCTCAAGGAAAGTATGGGCTGTGCTGGCAAAACTTTTGCATGCCATAGGATTCCAGAGGAAACCTACGGAATTAAACCTACTATTCTTGCTCTCCTTTCAATGACCTCAAAACAGTCCTTGCTGCTTCTGCTGTATCATAAAATTTCTGCTTCTTTTATTAACACGTAATTTTCTTCACTTTTTTCCTATTAATTTTTTTTTAAAAAAAACTTAACGATATGAAAAGAATTTTTACTTATAAGTTTTAGTTTTCTTTTAAAAAATTGAGGAAGTTCCCAAAAAAGGTCATTAAGGGAGAATTAAGGTTAGAGGCATACATCATAAACAAAGAAACTCATTGGATTGTTACTTAATGTCTAAACACCGGATAACGAAGAAATGCAGACTAAGCCTTCCTAAAAAACTTTTCGTTTTGACTGTATCTCAACACAGCCGCCACTTGTAAATCAGAGATTTCCTATTCTATACCACAGACTGATGACATTACAAGACATCTGTTTGCAGTGTTAGGTGTATTTAAATGCTGCCCAAGTTGTTCTGAGAATATGCTATGTCTCTATATGTTAGATAAGTATGTTACTCTCAAAGTATGGATTTCAACATACTCAGGAGGTCGAGTGTCTGGTCCAAGATCCCGGTGCAAAGAAATTCTGTCACTTGCAAAAGCATTAAAACAGTGTTTTTCATCCCCACGCTCCTTCTCCTTCTCCTCTTCTGGGCTTAAATTGGTAGCTTTGAATGCTTTACCAGAAGCTCCAGGGGCATTGGGGTCCTGAAGAGGTCGCTCTAAGAAGGGTTTCAGTTCTGCTAGTGTATAATGTCCTTGCAAACAGTGTCTCACTCCAGGAATACTGGTTTGCCTAACAGGTGCTTTTATCTGCATTTTTGGCTTTGCACCTTTAATATTGTTCACAGCATTTAACATGAAACCGAGTACATCACTTTTCTTTCCCACAACTGGTCCAATCCCTGGTTCACGTTTAGCATGTTGAACACCTACTTCTCTTTGTAATAAAAACAAAAATACTAGAAAAACAAAAACAACAATGCTAAACTTCCAAAGCTTCCAGTGGGAAAATAGTTTCTTACACAATTGTCTTAGTATTCTTATGTGAGCCATTCTGGTATTAAAAGTTTATCACATCTATAAAAACCTCTGTTAAAGATGTTCTTTAGCATCAAACTGGTCACAATAATGTTTCTTGAAATGGAAACACCTGTAAATTAAAAAAAAAAGTATTAATATGTATGCAGTTAAATGTGCACTACAATGCAAAAGTACAAAACGTGAAAAATCAATAGTAACTGATTTAACAAGGGGGCCACATTAAGGTTAGATAGGCAACCTTAATTCTGGCATTTCCTCACTTTTCAGTGTTCGACTTTGCAACCTTAATGTTCTCTTAATGTAGTATTTTGTATGTAGTTAGGCATATGTTGAAGGAATAATTCCATACCCTAGCCTGGGTAAAATTAAAGTGTGTGTTACTCCCCAATTCTCCCCCCCCCCCGCCATTTTACTCATTATTGTTTTATTTTATTTTCTTACACTAGACTGACACAGGTTCACTCCCACACTCCAAACCCATAAATCAATTCTGCCCCCTACCTCTTTGCAGAGGTCCTCTTTTCAGCTTGCAGTCTAGGACTGGGAAGCCAGTTGCTGTCCTCCTGGTAGTGCAGGAGGCCTAAAGCTTCCCAGATTCTCCTCCTCTGAACCTGAGCATTCTGTTCTCCAGCTCCTCCCTCTTGTTCTCAAAGGATCAGTGTCTTTTTTGTTCTTCCATCCCTCCTCCCCACCCCACGAAAAATATAGCAGCTTCGACAGTTCAAGTCTCCTTCTTGAGAAAGGAACAACAACTGGGCTGCTCTGCTCCCTGCCTTCCCTATATTTATTCTCTCTAGAGAGGGAACCAACAGCTTTCCTTGTCCCACTCAGACAAAATTTCCATTCCCCATAATCAAGTGGGTGAGCAGGTTTTTGAGGCCCTGGCATTAGAGGCCAAAAGATTCATACCAATAAGTTGGCTAAACTCAATATAGTGTTATTCACTGTTTAATGGGGAAAAAGGTGCTATTTTTTAAATAAGAAAATACACAGATTTTGGGACCCCTTGTTTCAACACTCAGTAAACTTCAGGTTAAACTAAGGATTCAAAAAGAGACCAGTGTAAAAAAGGTTCACATTTTCCCGCAATTGATGAGGTCAGAGGTTCTTAAACTGTGGTATATGGCTTGCAATCAGGTGGTACACAGGTGTGAACAGTGTGGGAGAGAGTCATAAAAATATTAGCTATTATGTAATCCTCTGCTTGTTTGTTTTGGTTATTGTCACTTACTAAAGTATAACTAGGAGTCAAGTCAGTCTTATGTTGTTTTGTGTGTCTGCTGAAGCCACAGTCAATAGCTTCAGAAAACTCACTCACCAGTATTTAATACAGATGTCAATTCATTTGGAATTTTACCTCTATCATGCTCTGATCAACAGACTGGTTTGGTAACCACAAGGGTTGGGAAGCCAAACAGGGAAAATGCAACAAAGAACTTTGGAATGATTTAAAATCTCAGCCCTGAAGTTGAGAGAGACATAAAGAGTCCATGACTGCTGGGGAGCAGACTGACAATCCACCCCCAATATTGGGGTGTCTGGGATAAGCTCTACGTAAGACAAATGTGTGCAGGCTGTTTGTTTTAGCCTTTTTCTCTGAATGCTATTTTGCTACTGATGTAAATAAATACTACTTTGTTTTGGAGAAGCTATTCTGAGTCATCGCATCATCTACTGCGTACAGCTCCTGAAAAAAAAATTGTACAAATGGCCAAACACAGTCAGGCATTTGGAGTAATTACAGTTGGTACATGGAGGTGCCAGAGCCTGGAGACCCAGTCTAAAAGCGAATTGTGGGATTCCACCCTGAGAGAAGTGCAGCACTGGGTCTATTGCTTCAAAAGTTCCCCATGGAGAGAAAGAGAAATGAGGAAAACAGCTCATTCTGTAACTGTGAGAAGAGAGCAGGATTTTTTTTTTTTAAAGACATGTCAAAATAAGGATCTATGATGACTACACCTAACTATAAAAGGTGGTATTTGGTGTATCAAGTACTTCTAAGTTTTAGAATTGCTTCAATTGGGACATCAGACCCATGTACCTGCCTTTAAACCACAAAATAAAAGACTAGTATAATTGTGCTACTTAACAATCTTATGTCTAACCTCTGAACTCTTCAAAAAACAAACATTAATTTCTTCTTCTAGGAAATACTATTAAACAAGTTATAACACCCAACAGTAAATGCCTGGACAAAGGGACATTTGACATCCCCTGAAAAGAGAACTTTGTGGGAGCAGATTATAGGAAAAAATGCCACTACATGTATAAATTATTTAGTGAAAAGTAGTTTCTAGAATTTTATACAACCACAAATGCTGATTGATATACCAAGAGATACCAGTAAAGAGTTTTTGTTGCGAGAGGGGAGTACAGTTGAAGGACATAGTTGTTGCACCTGTACTATTTCTGCCTCATTGCTGCTACTATCAGAAGCAAGGCAGAACCAATCAAGTTTTACGTATTGCTTATCGCATCCTACTACATCCTGTGGTATAGCATTAAGATAGCAAGCAGATAGGTTCCTCAGAAATACATCAAATAGATTAGATGGGAAGTACCATGCACTTCTAGAACAAAAGTCTTTTACAAATAACATAGAAATGATTTCACAGTTGTTTACAAGATATATTATAAAGTGGTGGTAAAGAGATAAGCCATATAGTTCTAAAGAATTAAGAATTTACGCAGGAAGGACTAGTTAAATACACACACACTTTACACATTTGAGAATAAATTTAAAACTATACTAATGGCTGTGGAAAGACCAAGAAGGGAATAAAAAGGGGCAACTTTGACCTGTTCTGATGACTAACAAAAGAAGAAAACAGTTTTAAAAGATAGATCAGAACTTAAGAACATAAGAACAGCTATACTGCATAAGACCAATGGTCCATCTAGCCCTGTATCTTGTCTTCCAACAGTGGACAGAGCCAGATGCATCAGAGGGCATGAACAGAACAGGGCAATCTCAAGTCCTGCTGTCCAATCCTAGCTTCTGGTAGCTGGAGGTTTAGGGACACCTGGATCCATGAGGTCATGTCCCCATCATAGCTAACAGCCATTGATGGACTTTCCTTCATGAATTTATTTAATTCTTTTTTGCACAAGTTATAATTTTGGCCTTCACAACATCCCATGACAACAAGTTCCACAAGTTGCCAGTATATTGTGTGAAGAAGTACTTCCTTTTGTTTTAAATCTGCTGCCTGTTAATTTCATCAAGTGAATCTCTAGTTCTTGTGTTACGTGAAGGGGTAAATAACACTTTGCTATTAACCCTCTCCATACCATTATGATATCTATCATATCTCATCAACTTTCTCTTGGTTGTTTAGAGTAATATTTAAAAGGAGACTGCATTTAGTAATTACTTAAATGCATACAATACTGGTAATTTGTGACTGACAATGCTGTTCAACTTGTTTTCTGTTACTACTAAGTAAATATCCTGGAATTATTTATTTAGGATTTAACAGAGGGGAGAGAGGAGTTAAGTAAGTAACTATGCTTATAAACGTGGCTGCTTTTTAGTGGCCTGAAATACATATGACATTTTTTTCAACTTATTTTCAGTAACTTTTAAAGTTTTTCTATGAAAAATTTTAATGAAAAAAGTACTTATTTTTAAAAACCCCTACGAGCCACACATAGTTGAAAAGCTGAACTAAGTGGTGATATAAAGGTGATCGATTTCTACCGGTGCCCAAAATGTCTGGCATCTTTAAATATAGATAATGGTTTGTGTAACTTTAAAACATTTTTCCTGGGTTTCCTATGGGGAAATTAGGAATGATCACAATTTTAAATTCAGGAAAAAGTTGATTAGATGTTAGAGTGGACTTTTTTGCATTTCATCTGGAGACCTAATCTTGTGAAGAGGGTCACAGTCTGTTTGGTGGCTTGTAACGTTGTTCGACATGTTGGTGCTTTTAGCAGGCAGTTGTCCATGTATGGGAATATCATGATTCAGTTTCTGTGGAGGCAGGCCGCAACCACTGCTAGTGCCTCTGAAAAAACTCAAGGGGCAGTGAATAGGCCGAAAGGAAGAACCTTGTATTGAAAATGTTTCTGTCCAATAGTAAATTGGAGAAATCTCCGATGCGAGGGATGGATCATTATATGAAAATATGCATCCTGGAGGTCAAGGGCCGAGAACCAATCCCCTCTTTCTAGTGCTGGAATTATGGTACCTAGTGTGACCATTTTGAAGGGCTGCGTCCTCACAAACTTGTTGAGTCACTGTAGATCGAGTAGGAGTCTCCACCTACCCAACTTTTTCTTCATGAGAAAATAGTGGGAATAAAATCCCCTCCCCTCGGTGTCTTGTTGGAACATGTTCTACTGCTTCTAGATGTATGAGGTGGATTACCTCCTCATGCAGTAGATGCTTGTGAGAGGGGTCCCTGAAGAGGGACGGGGAGGGAGGGTGGGTAGGGGGTTTGAAAAGAAAGGGGGATGGAATAACCAGTTTGTATGATTTCTAGCACCTATCTGTCGGATGTGATGGTTTTCCAGATTGGATAAAATGAAACTAGGCGATATCCAAATGCTTGGGAGAGAGTAGATGTTTTCAGCACAGAAAGACATGGAGTTCTCAGGCCCTCGACTAAGACTTCAAATTTGATGCCTGGACACCGATGGCTGTGACGCAGCTGGAGGAGTAGGCTGTCTTCTCCTCGATGGCCTGTGTTTGCGACCCTGTGACACGTACTACCATTATTGCTGTGAATACAGAGTGTGGCAGTAGCGTTGAGGGGCATAGTAACTCCTCTGTCTTTTCTTGGGTCTAGGTGTAGAAATCCCCAGAGATCGGAGTGTCACCTGTGAAACTTTGAGCGTATGGAGATTCTCATCAGTCTTTGTGGCGAAGAGTTTGGGCCCCTCAAATGGTAAATCTTCAACCGTAGATTGCACTTCTCTAGGGAAGCCAGAGAGATGGAACTATGAGGCCCTTCCCATCACCATTGCGATCACCACTGATCTTGTAGCTGTGTCCGCAGAGCCCAGTGCACCTTGGAGGGCTGTTCTAGAGATGAGTTGTCCCTCTGCTACAAGTGCTGTAAATTGTTCTTTTTTATCTTCAGAAACAGTTAATAAATTCAGAAA